GTTCGGGGGATGGTGGAGTATTTGACTTCATCTTTCTTCTTTCGAGAACTGTATTGTTAATTCAATCTGCCTCGAGCTCGACGCCAATTGATATTTTTATTCCAACAAAAGCATAAAATCATTTTTTACCCTAAATCACATAGGTTGGGTCGATCTCTTCTTAATTTGGGATCGCCCAAAAATGAGATTCTGCGGAATTTCCTATTAGAAATCGCTCAAAAAGGAAATTCGCTTAAAGCGGATGTAATTTATCCTTTTTTGGAAATCACTTGCTTAGAATCGACATTAACCTAGAAAATTTATATGTCGATCTTAAATCACGCCGACCAATGAATAATCATCACATGTCTGTCTATTTTAGGAAGGTCATGTGAAATGTCATGCCGATTGTTGATCATTACCTGATAAAAGATCGACATGACTCACATGTTTTGGTAGATCTGCTACTGCAGAATTTCCTGTTTCGGAAAATTGTTTTTCCGGAACCGGATCATCCGGGACATTAAGGTTCTGGCCTGTTTTCCTGATTTGATAATAATTTTTATTATCATCTTAATTTAGTAATAACTGTTAATTATAAATTAAATATTACTTTATTTGAGTTGTACCGAAATTATTAATTTTATTTAATTTCAGGAGTTTTTCCGATTCGTCTTCTTTAATATTGAGGAGACGATGATTCTTACACATGTTTCGAACCTTTTACTATATCTGGTTGACTGAACATGTGTAATTAATTAAAAAATAAAGAGAAGTTTATACAATTGGTGTTGAAAACTACTTGAGTCACCAATACGTTTTTGTTGTTGCTATTTTTGTATGTCGCTTTTGTTGATAAAGTATCTCGGGTATACCGCAAAAAACGTTTTCTTTTAGATTACAAAAAGGTATAAAAAAGAGTCGGGTTCGGGGGATGGTGAAGTATTTGACTTTATCTTTCTTCTTTAGAGAACCGTATTGTTAATTCAATCTGCCTTGAGCTCGACGCCGATTGATACTTCTATTCCAACAAAAGCATAAAATTCATTTTTTACCCTAAAAACCCTAACCCTAAATTTCCTAATCTGGTAACTATGTTACCTCTTTAGGAAATAGGATTACTGCTTTTAGGTATGGTCTTTCCTTTTATAGTAACCCTAACCCTAATAAGGGAATTGGAAAATTTTACCCATGAAAATGGGAAAATGGCAATCTGCCCGTAATAGGATACGCCCAAAAAGGAAATTCTGCGGAATTTCCTTAAAGGAATCGCCCAAAAAGAAAATTCGCCCAAAGCGAATTTAATTTATCCTTTTAGGGATGGTCACATTTTTGTGATCAACATAAATCCTAGAAAATTTAGGTTACCGATCTATAAACACGTGCACCAATAAAATCACGTCACGTGCTAGTCTCACGGATTACAATCACGTGTGAGTCATGCCGATGTCGATCATCATGTGATAAATTGATCGTCATGACTCACATGTTAATGTAGATCAACTGCTGCAGAATTTCCTTTTTCGGAAATTTGTTTTTCCAGCTCGGATCGTCCGGGTAATTAAGGTTCCATACTTGTTGACCTATTTTGGAAATATTTAATTTAAATATTTTCCCACGCTTAATTAGTAATTTATGTTTTAATTAAAACTTTCCCGTTTAGGGTTTTCCTTCGGAAAACCCTAAACCGTTAAAGTTTAATTAAAAATTACTAATTCTGGGTCTTATTTTTAATTAAAATTCTATTAATAGTCTAAGTTTAATTAAAATTTACCGCATTTGGGTTATACCGAAATTAAAGTTTAATTAATTTATATTAACTAATTTCGACTTGCAAACCGATTCGTCTCCTCATTAAAGGAGGAGTCGATGAAATTTATAAACGTTTCAGCCAATTTTCCGTTTTCAAACGGATCAAACATTTGTACTTAATTAAAAAGAGAAGTCTATGAAACTATTAGTGTTTTAAAACTTGGAGTCACCATGCCTTTCGCTTTTTTCCTTGTTAAAATAATAGTATGTCACTTTCTTTGGTAACTTATCTCGGATGTACCGCTTTTTCTTTCTTAGGCGCGTAAAGCACTACAAGTTAATGACCTCTGTTTGTGCCACGTCTTTTTGGAATTAGGTATATATAACCGTTGGGTTCGAGGATTGAAGTGGAGTAGACCATCTTAATTTTCTTCAATTTATTTTGACTAATAATCAATCTGCCTCAACTCGACGCCAATTGATATTTTACTTCATTGAAAGTATCAAAACAACAAAACCCTAAACCCTAAACCCTAACCCTAAACCCTAACCCTTCTATTTACATACCAATGCTTCATGAACAGGATTAGGAGAGGTGTTAGCTCAAAAGGACCCTGATAAACGAGAATATGCTGTTGTATTTGCTAGCCAAAGCTTAAACCAAGCTGAACAGAACTATTCAACTACTGAACAGGAATGTCTCGCTATTATTTGGACTGTGGAAAATTTTAACCATTATTTTGGAACAACCCATTTCTACGTTGTAACTGATCAAGTTGCACTGAAATGGTTACACACTACTGAACTGAAAGGACGACGAACCAGATGAATATTAAGATTAGAACCTTATAACTTCACTATTTTACATCGAGCAGGAAATCCCACAACAACGCTAACTCCCTTTCCCGATTAGAAATTTAAGTTTTGTTTATTTATCACACAAAATACAAAGAATAATAAAATTTTAATCTGACGCTAAACACAATCCAGTTCAGGTTGTCAGTGTCCTGACACAATGGAATCACAAGAGTATCAAACTCTAATTAATTACCTTATACACCAAATATATCCATATAATTTTATACAAAAAGACAAAAATAGAATACAATCAAAAAGCAGATTTTTCAAAGTTAAAAATAATTTGTTATATAGGAAGGATCGATAAAAGAAAACTAGAAGAAAATTATTGAAAGTTTTACAAAAACATGAAATTGAACCTGTTCTTTATATGCTGCATAACTACCCATTAGGAGGACACTTGAGAATAGATATTGTCTTTAACAAAGTGAGAAACTTATACCACTGGCCACAAATATATGACGATATCAAGGCCTATGTTAAATCATGTGATCGCTACCAACAACAAGGACGAAAACGTAATAAGAAACCCTTACAACCAATTCCAGTAGGAAGTCCATTCCAAAGGGTTGGAATCGATATAGTTGGACCCTTACTAATTACCCCAAAATGTAATCGATACATTATTGTTGCTACTGACTACTTAACAAAGTATTCCGAAGTCTGAGCTCTTACTGAAGCCACTGCACTTAAAGTTGCTGATTTTATTTATGAAGAGATTATCTGTAGACATAGATGCCCTCAAATTATTCCAACTGATAGAGGATCTCATTTCCGCAATCAATTAATAGAGGAATTATTAAAAAAATTTGAAATAAAACACTTGTACTCTATACCTTATCATCCTGAAACTAATGGTTTGGTAGAACGATTTAACAAGACCTTAGGAGACTCACTAGCCAAAACATCTGAAACTAATACTGAATGGGACAAACATATCTCTTCTGTTCTCTTTGCTTACCGAATAGCTAAACAAGTAACCACGCAGATTGAACCCTTTTATTTGGTATATAGATAAATTGCCCGGTTTCCTACAAAAGAAGGATTAGAATATGAAGAAGAAAACCTATTGACCTGATTATATGACTTAGTAGATAATTTACCTGAAGAAAGAGGAAAAGCTCAAATTCAAATAAAGAAATGTCAAATTAAACAAAAGGAATATCATGACCAAAAGATTATTAAACATATTGAATACAAAATTAAAGATAAGGTACTTGTTTATGATGCCGCAAAACAAACAAGTCATACTGGTAAATTAGATCCTAAGTAGAAAGGACCCTTTTATATCCATGATCGGCCTTATCAAGGGGTATACAAATTGAAAACAATGGATGAAAAAATATTAAAAGCACCAATTAACGAATTTCTCCTGAAAATGTATCACGATCAATCGACATGGGTACCACAAGTTATTATTGTATAATAACAAGTTCATTCTTAAGAAAAAGTATAAATACACATCCTCCTCCACAAAAACAAAAGATACCTCAATGGCTTTCATACAAGATCTTCAAAAGAAATTGATAGAGTTATATAAAGATTTTTCTGAAGAAATTGATGATATTCATATTCAACTGACACCAAACAGTTATAATATTCGTACCCAAGAGCAAAATATTAATGTGTCTACTGCAGATATTAAGAAAAACTACTTTACTCCTTATCTTCTTGATTTATTCAATACTGAAGTAGATTTTGACTTTGGACTGTACGTCGAGACTGACCTTAAGAAACTATTACGATATTTTGAGAATATTAATAATTCCAATGTTAAACGAATACTTGCCTATTCTTTAATTGAAATGCGAATTAATCAATTACAACAAACTACAATGAAAAAGGAACTTCAAAAACAATTGGGAAGATACAGCTCCCAAAACATCGCTCGCCTCAAACAAATTTCAAAAAGATCATATAGATT